TATATTTTAAATCCATATATATTTTCTTGCTGTTTCTGATTATACTCCTAGCCTCTATGGTCTTAATTATATTGTCCTTGTATTACATTGAAGAACCATAAGTGTATGAAGCATCTCACAAAATATACTATCTTGCTATATATTCTTGGACCCATGAACTTGTACACCTTACTATTAATCTTTTTGTCCTTGAAATTATTTTAGCTCTTATAAAAAAATGAAAAAATCTTATTCTGACAGCCAGTTGAAGATCTCGGTGAAATGCCAAGTCATGTCATGAATAATTTATGCCTGATCTATGTGCAGACTTTTTTTTTCACTTACAACTCTTTGAGATGTCACTTAGTGCATGGCTACAGTTGTTTTTGGATAAAAATTATATATATATATGGGTTGACAAAATTATATCATGATGGACAAAACAGATGAAAATGGACAAATAAAAATTTTTCTTGTCAGTATGTTAGTGTTTTAGCGCCTATCTGCTTGCGCTGTATGCTTCCCAGGAAGTTGAGGTTGTTTCAGAATGCTCTCAGGTCTTCTGGGGTAAGAGTATAGATTGTGAAGCACATAGAGCTTGCTGTTGAGAGGGGATTTGCGCTATGATACAAATGCTATCTATTATTATTTAAACATTTTTATTTTAAATTGTGAAAACTGCCATTTTCCCGTTATATTTCAATAAAGGGGATGATGCATATTATTGTTGGTATAAAAATTATCTTTTTTTTGTTTTTTGTTTCTAGTTTTACAGAAAGGGCTCGCAAATAATTTCAGCACTGCAGAGGTGAAGGTTGTGGACTGCCCTGATCTCACAGCTGCTCCGTTTGATCTTGCGGAAAAAGGTGAATTGTATACATGACGTATATAATATGTGTAACAAACGGGTAACAGAGAAAGATCAGGGAAACGTAGCTTTTTTTGAGAGCATCCGAGCATAGGAATGAATGGAGAACCATGATCGCAGATGTCTGTTGCAGATCTGGCACTGGATGATGATAATTGTTAGGTGAAATTAGCGTTTGTTGTTGTTGCCTTTTCAATTGCTTTCTGGTGAATATTTCTCCGTGCTGACAACTTTCATGTCTACTTTGCAATTTACCGAGATGAACAATGTTAGCCTGTGCTGGCCTGCTACTGCTACAGTTGCCCGATAGAGTTGTTAAAATTATTTTGTTTTTCGTTCTGTCCTATACCTACCTGTATTACCTGTCCTGGGCAACAACGTCATTGCACACCGGACAGGTTGTCCTATACCTATTGATGTATTATTTTGATTAACATCCAGACATGTGGGCATCTAGCACAGCAATGTTATAATGTAGAAATATGAAAGCGGCGAAATGGAAAGTGATCGTTTGTACAAGGGATTTTTCTGTTACAGGTGGCCGTTACAGTACTTACAATAACGAGGACTTAGATAAATTTGCATTCCTAAAATAATCTTGTCCCTTTACTTACAATAACGAGGACTTAGATAAATTTGCATTCCTAAAATAATCTTGTCCCTTTACTTACAATAACGAGGACTTAGATAAATTTGCATTCCTAAAATAATTTTGTCCCTTGTCATTTCGGGGAATCTGTGTTGCTATGGCCAGAGATGCACAAACAAACGGATAAAGAAGAAAAAATGCAAATAATACTTTTGTAAGTATTGAAGAGTCAAAATGAATTTCTGTTTTTCCATTAAACATTTTATATATATAATATTAGGTCTACATGTAGGCTTATTACTTTCCTTATTGCAAGTAACGTTTTTTTACCCTCTATTGAGTATGATTTCTAAATGTGAAGTGTGCTGACAAAATGAGTTGTTTCTCTGATTCAAACATTATTAAAGTAGATACATCAGGCTTATAGGTGAAGTTTTTACAGTTTAGAAGTATGAAATAATAAAGGGCATGTTATACTTAAAGAATATGGCACCAATAGAAAATCTACAAATTCAACCCTAGAGTTGATTTTTGGTCAATATCTCCATTTGTGGATTGCGAGAAGTAACTCATTTTGTCAGCAGGTCTCTCAAATCGAAACTTGAGACCATAGCATCTCTAGGTGCGAAAACTATTGAATTGTAGACGTTATTATATTACTGTCCGCATTGTGTGACTGTTGTTCAAGTCAGAATCACACGTGTTGTTCATTTATGACGGAAAGGTCAAGAACTGACTGGTCTATCATACGTCAAGTACTTCCCTGCTTTTTGTTTGTGTGTGTGTGTGTGTGTGTGTGTGTGTGTTTGTATTTGTGTGTGTATGTGTGTTTACGTGTGTATGTGTGTATATGTTTGAGTGTTTGTGTGTGTGTGTGTGTGTGTGTGTGTATTGTATATGTGTGTGTCTGTCTGTTTATGTGTGTCTCTGTGTGTGTGTGTTTGTGTGTATGTTTGTGTGTGTGTGTATCTTTGTGTGTGTGTGTATTGTATATGTATGTGTCTGTCTGTTTATGTGTGTCTCTGTGTGTGTATGCTTGTGTGTATCTTTGTGTGTGTGTGTGTTTTTGGCAATGTTTTTTAAGAAGATTGTCGAAACGTGAACCCAAATCAAGACAGTGTATGTATATATTATATTGTTATAATTGTTGAAGCACTTTCAAGTACTGATTAACTGAACTTTTATCTTGAGGTCATGTTGAGGAAACTCAGTTGTCTGCCTGCCTCTTATCTGAAACCTTAGACTGTGTGCACACAATGGGATTATATCGTTCTCCTCTTATGTCATCTCAGCTCTAAAGTTCATGGCTGCTGAAAATTCCATGACTGCTGATAAGCTGATGTTGACTTTATGACTGGGGCACCGACTGTACTGATTTTGTGTTGGCCGAGTGTAGCAGTTCTCTTTTCTTTTTTTTTTCAAATAATAAATGTGAGGCAGCGTGGTGGAATCAGGCTCTCGTCAAAATAATCAAAGTGAAGAAACTTGCACTTTTCCGCAGGTTTGTGAATTTTTATCAAAATTTTTGTTTTTTGGATCGACACCTTTCATGCCCATTAAAGAACTCATTTCTGTGTGGATTTTTCTGAAAAACGTTGATTAAAGGGACAAAAAAATGTAAATTTTCAGTTACCACGGACTCTTAAGCTAAGGAAATAACTCATCTTTGATGGCCATTTTCTCACTAATGTTACTTCTGAAAACAAGTGACCCCCACCTCCTTCATTTGCAAATATCTCGACTTGTATTCAAGATAAATGGATATTTTTTTCATCCAAATAAAGACAAGTGAATAAGTTTTAAGATGATACCAATAACTCTACATGCCCAAAAAATGACGAGAGCCTGATTCCACCACGCTGCCTCACAAATAATGTTTTATCAAAAAGAGATCCTGTATTGCAGGAAGAATGGTTTATGTCAGCTGGCTATAGTTTGTGTCTGTAGAAAATCTCCTTTTTTTTTCTGGGTGCATGTTGTTTAAAAGTGGGTGGGTGGTGGGTGTTGTGGTGTGGTTTGTTCCATCTTTCCTTTCAAACCTCTATAGTCCTTATCCCCCCCCCCTTCTTTTTTGTGTTTGTTACTTGCTTGTAACATCTCTAATCTTCAGCACATATATGAGCTTATTGTGTTGCGAATGATGTAAAACTCTTTCTAAAAAAAATATTGTTGTTGGGATAAGATGGGATAACAATATTTGAGGTGCACAAGCTTTCAGTCAGATACCTGGTGGCTAACATCTTGTATCTTACATGAACAGGCCTGCATGTATTGTTTTGATTTGAAATGTTTGTTTCGTGAAGTGTAAAAAAAAAAGGAGAAGAGGGAAAAAAAATTGACTTGTGCTGCAATGAGAGCAAAAAAATCAAAACTTCAGTAGCAGTCATTTTTGGTGGTTGGCGGATGCTCTGGTGTGGTTTGCTCCTTCTTTCCTATCAAACATTTACCGCCTTATTTCTCCTCATTTTTGTTTGTGTTTGTTACTCTCTTGTTACACCTCTAATCTGTGGCACTAATATGACCTTATTGTGTTGCGAGTGCTGTAAAACACTTAAACAAAACAAACTTTTACTTAACAGCTGTATTTATCTTCAACAAATTTTCTCTGCTCTACGTATGAAAAAGAGATTGTATGTAGGTGGAATATTCAGCTTCAGCTGATGCTAATTAAAATCAGATTTGTGAAAAATTGGGAATGCAAGAGCAGGCAAAGACTATGGCTTGAATAAATTAAATTACACTTGGCGGTAGAAAGAGTGGAAACAAATAACGTTCTCTCTAATATGCTTGGTATGTCTGGTGCCATGCCTCATGAATGTGGTCAGTCATACGTACTGTCCTTGGACTCAGGAGAAGCTTGATTAGGGCCACAGTACACATGACGACAGAGGACCAGAAGGGGCAGTTAGTCTGGACTATTTGAAGATACTTTTGTGGAAAGAACATTTTTTAAAATAGGAATTGTTTAATTTTTAGTTTATAATGTCCTTATCCCCCCCTCCCCTCCCCTGTCCCCCCTTCCCAAACTCCACTCCCCCCCACCCTTCTTCAACACAGGGTTCAAAGGGTTAAGAAATTCTCATGGCAGTTCATGGCAGCAGCTGATGATTTTTTTTCTTTAATGCTGGATGGTCGTGAATATTGTGTTGTTACTTATCACACGCTGCGAGTTCACAATGGCCGAGTCTGAAGGGAGAAAATATTTTGAATATATATTGCGATTTTTTTCATTATTACTGTCCATGTACAGTGAAATAGTCTCTTATAACCCGGTACTGATCTTATGTTAATTATTTTTTAATAGAAACTTTTAAAAAATATAAAAACAAAACAGAACAAAACAAAACAAGCAAAAAAAACAAAAAACGAAACCAACCCCCACCCCCCCCCCCCCCCCCCCCCCCCCCCCCAGGAAAAAAATAGAATAAAAAAAAAAAAATGTCTATGTTTATATATATATAGATCTAGATCTAGAATCTATGTGTCACGACGCAGTGGAATCAGGTGCTCGTCAATTTTTAGGACATATTGAATTAAAAGGTATCATTTTAAAGCTTTTTCATTCATTTTGCCTTTGGTGAAAATAATACTACTCGTCTACCTTGAATGGAAGTTGAGATATTTGTGCTTTAATTAAAGGAGGCTGGGGTCGCCTGGTTTCAGAGGTAAAATTAATGAGAAAATGGCCGCCAAAGTTTGGCGACTCCCAATGCTTGAGAGTCCTTAGAAACTGCACATTTACATGTGTGTGTTCCTTAAATCAACTTTTCCCAGTAAAATTCTCACAGAAATGTTTTTTAAATGGACCTTAAAGGTGTTGAGTCAAAAAACAAAAATTCGATAAAATTTGCCAAAAAGACAGAAAAAGGTAATTTTCTTTGATCTCATTATTTTGACGAGCGTCTGATTTCACTATGATGTCCTTATTTTCCTTCTTTGAGCATTTTTTCCTCTCTTCCTCATCTTCCTTGTTCTCCTCTACTCTTCACATTTTTTTCTTCTGTTTTCCCCTTGGTGGGTGCTCTATTGTGGTTTGCTTCTTCTTTCCTATCAAACATCTATCGTCCTTTTCTCCCCTTTTTCATTTTTATGTTTGTTACTCTCTTGTAACACCTCTAATCTTCTGACGCTCATAATGACCTTATGCAGTTGCGAGCGCCGTAAAACCTTTACTAAAAGAAACAAATATCTTTGTTACTCTCTTGCAACACCTCTAATCTTCTGATGCTTATATGACCTTTTGCAGTTGCGAGTGCCGTAAAACCTCTACTAAAATAAACAAATATCTTTGCTACTCTCTTGTAACACCTCTAATTTTCTGGCGCTCATATGATCTTATGCAGTTGCAAGCGTCGTAAAACCTCTACTAAAACTAAACCTCCCCCCGTCCCTATGATTTATATGTCTGAAATAACCGGTATGTATATTTCCAGGTTTATCGGGTCGCCCTAGGATTCTGGATGTCGGTGGTCCTGACTACTTGAAACCTTTTCCCCAGAAAGAAAAAGTAAGGAAGTGTAAAGTGTGGCGTCGGTGGCCTAGTGGTTAGGCTCTCGGACTCGCAACCTTAAGGTCGTGGGTTCGAATCCCGTCAGGGGCCCAATGTTGTGTCCTTGGGAAAGGCACCATTACACGAATTTTCCTCACTTCACCCAGGTGGGAATGGGTACCTGGCTATAGACAGCGAAAGATCTTGTCAGTTAGTTAGTGTTTTAGCGCTTAATCAGCTGCTTGCACTGTATGCTTCCCGGGAAGCTGAGAATGTTTCGGAGTGCATCTATGGTCTGATATAGTATAAAGCGCATAGAGCTTGCTGTTGAGCGGGGATATGCGCTATACAAAAGCTATAAATTTATTATTATTATAACTAAGGTTACTGTAATGTTCTGCTTTTTCCTCCTTTCCTGTTCTCTGGTCCTATTCTGTTATCTATCTTTCTCTCCACCCCGTCAACCCCTTCTTCCCCCCCCCACACACACCCGCCCCCTCTGTCCTTCTCACCCTTACTCCTGACTCTTTCTACCGCTACTCCTTGGCTCCTTCTTATTGCGGACTTTCAGCCACACCCCTGATCTTAGGGTAGTCTAAGATCTAAACCTAGCCTTCTCTGATAAGGGCGCAGACATCTCAAAGGTCCCGTGTGCAAGTTGCACATGCTTAAGATCCCTCAGTGATTTTAAAATCTTTATTACGTTCATTTTTTATTTGAAATATATACTTTTTTTTATTATTTAGGTAGAAAATGACATTTGCGTATATTATTTTGTCCAGAAATATTCCTTTGCTGATGTGTCGAACCTGGGAGAATTACCGGGGTCCTTCCTGATCGGGGCTGGAGCGGGCCCCTGTCACCACACGGGAACCAATTGTGAGCTCATCTGTAACGTGCAGCTGGGGGAAGGGGGCAGCAACAAGTCAAGAATTGTCAAGGTCAACGAAGGGGTAAGCTCTCTGCTGTGCTCTTTCTGTGAATGAAGGGGTAAGCGCTCTGCTGTGCTGTTTCTGTCAGAGAAGGGGTAAGCCCTCTGCTGTGCTCTTTCTGTCAGAGAAGGGGTAAGCCCTCTGCTGTGCTGTTTCTGTCAGCTAAGGGGTAAGCCCTCTGCTGTGCTCTTTTATGTCAGTGAAGGGGTAAGCCCTCTGCTGTGCTGTTTCTGTCAGCGAAGGGGTAAGCCCTCTGCTGTGCTGTTTCTGTCAGGGAAGGGGTAAGCCCTCTGCTGTGCTCTTTCAGTCAGTGAAGGGGTAAGCTCTCTGCTGTGCTGTTTCTGTCAGTGAAGGGGTAAGCCCTCTGCTGTGCTCTTTCAGTCAGTGAAGGGGTAAGCTCTCTGCTGTGCTGTTTCTGTCAGGGAAGGGGTAAGCCCTCTGCTGTGCTGTTTCTGTCAGGGAAGGGGTAAGCCCTCTGCTGTGCTCTTTCAGTCAGTGAAGGGGTAAGCTCTCTGCTGTGCTGTTTCTGTCAGGGAAGGGGTAAGCCCTCTGCTGTGCTGTTTCTGTGTGTCTTTTTTCTTTTTTGGCTGCACTGAATGAACAATCATCCCTGTGTCAGTGTCAGTGTGCTTCTCTTTACTCAAAAGTCAGTGTTGATGGAAAAGATTTATTTTTATTGTTCTGGAATGTATATTTATAATGCTGGAACTCTATATATCTGAAATATCTGTCATTTTGTTGTTGTTGTTTTAAAAAAAATTTATGCATCATGTCGTAATGGTACTGAGCTTTAGAGCTTGTGTGTGTGTGTGTGTGTGTGTGTGTGTGTGTGTGTGTGTGTGTGTGTGTGTGTGTGTGTGTGTGTGTGTGTGTGTGTTTTGTAAGCACCATCAATCACTTTTTGTGGATTCTGGTGTGTTATAATATAAATTCATTTATAATTATTATTATTATCGTTCTAACTGAGAAAACATGTGTTTCTTCTGGAGATATTAAAATAATTATTTTGTTAAAATCCGCTTCAGGATGGCTCGTACACCATAATGGAAGAGAAATCTGGGGAGTTCAGCCTTCTTGGAAACTTCTTTTTGTCGCAAGGGAAACCAGGAAAGGTAAAGGAATGTGTGTCTTTTGAAAAATTGTCATCGAAGCTTCATTCGTGGACATATGACATCCTGCATGATTGATTGACAGCAGGATAATCACTTGGACAAACGGCCACTCCCCTTCCCCCCCTTGGTTTTTTTGTTTTTTTTAAATGTAAAAACCGCAGTTAACTCCGAAGTTTGAGCCCACATTATATGTGTCACAACACGGTAGAATCAGGCGCTCGTCAGTTTTAGGGTGTATGAAATTATTGGTATCGTCTTAGTTGAAGCCTGTTCATTTGTTTATCTTGAATAAAAGTCAAGAAGGGGCTCTCGTGGCCTAGAGGTTAAGGTGTTGGCCTCTCATTCAAAAGGTCCCGGGTTTTAATCCAGGTAGCGACCGAAAAATTTTCTTCTTTAAAATTGTCTCCTTTCACCTCCTTTCCTGCTCTCTACCAATATTCTTTTGTCTGCTTTCGTCTCCTCTTTCTGCCCCCACCCCCCACCTCCTTTGCCCCCTTCTCTGGGCTTCAGACTCTTTCTGCAGTCTTTCTACTGCTACTCCTTGGCTCCTCCTTACTGCTGTCTTTCTGCCACACCCCTGATCTTCTGGTAGGAAAGATCTACACCTAGCCTTCTCGGACAAGGGCGAAAAATCTCGGAGGGCCCGTGTGCAAGTTGCGTACGTTAAAGGTCCCTCGGTGGTCTAAAATCGATAAGAGTAGGCTTCGGCCGCCACCCGGGCAAAATTCAAAATTTCCTACCAACTGAAAAATATTAGGTGTGTCCCGCGCGCTCATATGACCTTATGCAGTTGCGAGCGCCGTAAAACACTTACGAAAAAAAAAAGTCAAGATATTGTCGATTGAACAAGATGGGGGTCGCCTGGTTTCAGAGGTGAAATTAGCGAGAAAATGGCCGCCACAAGTTTGGCGATTTCCAAATCTGCTTGTATATTTTCAGCAGCGCGTGTGTCTCTCACCATCCCAAGAGCTTTTTTTCTGTTTCGTGCGGGGGGGGGGGGGGGTACTGAATTTGCGCATTTTTCGAAATTAGCGAACCTAATTAAACTTCAATTTCCATAATGTTTGTTCATTTTCCTTTGAACATTGTTATATATGCTATTATCTAAACTTCATTACAAAGATACTACATCACTTTTTAGAATGCATGCTAGGAAATATATAAATTACAATGTATGAATATTTTTGCTTTGGTAAAATGTTAATGGTTTCATCCTTTTATGTCAGGTTTTATACGCCATGCCTCTAGTATATATTTACTAGGAAATGTTTAAATTACAGTGAATGAATTTTTTTGCTTTAGAAAATGTTAACGGTTTCATCCTTATGGCGGGTTTTTGAATGCTATGCCCCTTGTATATATTTGCAAGGAAATGTGTCAATTAGAGTGTATGAATATTTTTGCTTTTGAAGAATGTTAATGGTTTGGTTTCACACCTTTACGGCAGGTCTTGGAGCTCAAGGTGAAAGACCGCACTGGTCCCGAGAATTTTGTTTCTTGTGTGCGGAAAACTCTGGCGGCTCATTACGGAGACAAAACAGTTGGTGTCGGGGGGACGTTCTTGCTGCAGACGGGAAAAGCCAACATCCACGTTATGGTGAGGAGCTCTTAGTTTAGTTTTAGTTGAAGAGTTTTACAGCATTTGCAGCTTAGCTAGGTCGTATAAAGTAGTTCAAAGATTATAGGTGTTACTATAGAGGGTTTTTGTTTTGTTTTTGTAAAAGTTTTACAGCACTCATTCAATGGTCCCAGGTTCGAATCTGGATAGCGACGGAAAATTTTCTTCTCTAAAAATTTTCTCCTTTCACTTCCTTTCCTGCTCTCTAACAATGTTCTGTTGTATGCTTTTGTCTCCTCTTTCTGCCCCTACCCCCTCACCTCCTTTGCCCCTACTAATTACTAATGGTAATAATAATAATGATAATAACAGTAATAATAATATTAATGATAATAATAATAATAATAAAAATGACAATATTATCATTATTATTATTACCATTAGTATTATTATTATTACTGTTGTTGTTGTTATTATTATTATCATCATCTTTATTTTTATTATTATTGTTATCATTATTGTTTGCTTTTCTCATCCAGCCTGACTTTAGCAAAACAGCCCTAGAAACAGACGAGCAATCTGACAACTGGCTGAAGTTTTACGAGATGGATGCTCCGCTGATTCACGTCGGAGAGATTGTGTCTGGCGACCCTGAGGTAATAAGCCCGCACTGGACAGTCCAGGGAGGGACGGGCGAGCTGTACAACTGTTCTAGCTATGCCCAGAAAGCGAAATTTTTCAGGAGGCAGAAAAATAACAACACGTTGTTATAGCCCAAAAAGCTGACACCTCCAACTTGTAAATGGTGGAAACTGGCTCTCATATGACCTTCTGCAGTTGCGAGCGCCGTAAAACCTCTACTAAAACAAACAAATGGTGGAAACAAAGGCTTAGTCTTTAATAAAAAACTTGGTTTGCGAATAGTTCCGAAAATCAAGCAAAAACCATCACTAAATAAAACAAAATGTGAGGCAGCGTGATGGAATCAGGCTCTCGTCAAAATAATCAAAGTAAAGAAACTTGCATTTTTTCGCAGGTTTGTGAAGTTTTATCAAATTTTTGTTTTTTTCGCTCAACACCTTTCATGTCCATTAAAGAACTCATTTCTGTGTGGATTTTTCTGAAAAGCGTTGATTAAAGGCACAAAAATGTAAGTTTTTAGTTACCACGGACTCTTAAACTAAGGAAATAACAAATCTTTGGCGGCTATTTTCTCACTTATTTTACCTCTGAAAACAGGTGACCCCCACCCCCTTCTTTCGCAAATATCTCGACTTGCATTCAAGATAAATGGATATTTTTTTTCATCCAAATAAAGACAAGTGAACAGGCTTTAAGATGATACCAATAACTCCACATGCCCAAAAATTGACGAGAGCCTGATTCCACCACGTTGCCTCACAAATGTGTCACTAGCTTCGGATGCAGCGTCTGATGAGGCTTAAAGAGCTAAGACACCTTGTCCAAACCTTTACGTATGTATTCCACAGAGTAACCTTTTGCTAATTTTCAACCTTTTGTAGAAAAGCAACCTGCACCAGATTTGGTCACTTTTCAGGACTAACGGGCTAACCCAGATTTCGGGTGTTTCTAGAAATCTTGACCTCCACCAAAAGTGGACATTGCCCTACCTATACAGGAGAAGTTTGGTTTCATAGGTGTGTATATTTGTTTGGTTATAGAGAAAACTCCCCTTGTCTTTTAAAGAATCTGGACTAGGGGCAAAAACTTTACCTTCGATTTTCTCAAAACAGCATTTTTCAGGACAGCCCCCTTGTGCTTAAAAGCGACCACTTATGTCTTGTGTTTTTTGCCTCGATATTATTGTTGTTAACCCTTCCAGCCCCAAGCGCGTATATTTTCAGCAGCGCTTGTACCTCCCTCCGCCCCAAGAGTGTATATTCTCAGTTTCGGGGGGGGGGTTACCGAATTCGCGCATTTTTCTAAATTAGCGAACGTGATTAAACTTTAATTTTCTTATTACTTGTTCATTTATCTTTAAAAATTGGTATATGTTATTATCAAAGCTACATTACAAAGATACTACATCACTTTTTAGAAATAATGCCTCTTTTTCTGAAATACTGTTGTATTGGCTGGGACTGGGGTTAGGGAGTGTACAAAAATGGCTGGGGCTGGAAGGGTTAATGGGTGCAGGCAATCCGCAGCTTGCACTGTATGCCTACTGGGAAGCCGAGAACATTTCTGAGTGTTCCTGGGTTTGCTGGGGTCACAATGGTTGTAAAGGGCATTGAGCATGTTATTGAGCATTACCATTTATTTTATTTTTAAAAAATTATAATTATAATTATTAATATTATTATTACTATTATTTTTATTATTCTCGTTTAATATTGTTATTATCATAATCATCTTATTTTTGTCATTATTATGATAATTATTATCATTATTATTATTGTTATTATTAATATTATAATTATTATGATGATTATCATTATCATTAATAATATTATAACAATTATTATTATTATCATTATTATTATCATCATCATCATCATCGGTTTTATTATTATTATCACTATTATTATCATTATTAATGGGGTTTAGTACATCTGCTTTTATAATAAATCCAATAAATGTTTTTTTTCCTTTTTTTTCTCTATATCCAGAAACTGCACTTGCGCTGTGAGCACTTCCACTGCTTCAGTCACCACGGGCAGGGCGGTCACTACCACTACGACACCACCCCAAACTCCGCCTCCTACCTGGGGTACCTCAACCTGGCTGAGGCTGTCTACAGGATAGATATACCGCAGGAAAAGAAGTATTTATTCTGAGCAACGGTTTATTTTACTTTTGTCATGAACTTATCAAAACCCATGTCTGATATGTTATGAAGGGGCTCTGTTGTTTTGCCTTTTTTGAAAAATGCCAAAAATCGCGGCCGCGACAAACGCAGATGCTAGATATTAGACTGAATTTTTAAATGATAACTTTGCCAAAGTTTCTGTTGCTGGTAATTCACAGGAAAGAAGATACATTTTCTATCATATCAGAGTGTTTTGCTTGACTGAAAGAGGCTGGTCTGGTCAGGTCTCTTTTACGTCACTCTTTGTGATTTCCTTTTGTCTCTGATTTTGTTTTGTTTTTTTAAACAATATTTTTCCCTACTCTATTATCTGGTGCAAAAATCGACTATGAGAATTACGGGCTCGACTTAAAATGTTACAGTACCGTATGATCTGGGAGATTCCTTGTCCATTTACTGCTGGACAACTTCCAAAGTATGCAATCTTCGTCTTTCAAAGTTCATAGCTCATCAGAAATACCTCCCTGTTGATTATAAATGTAATAGCTTTTAGGAAAAGAATAAAAGTATTCAGTTTTGGGACTTATCTTAAGTGCTTTCTACTGACATTCTATGTTCTGTAATGTATAAATAGCCTACTAGCCGCAAACAGAAACCTGTGAATAGAATCTTTTATTACACCTGTTAATGTCATGTTGTAATGTGCTCAGGTCGCGGTCTGCATCAAGGACAGTAAGCTGACAAAACGCTTTTTTTTTTTCATTTTTGGCGCGAAATTTGTTTATTTGCTCAATCGAAAGCCTAATCGGTTACCCTGCTTGTGTGACTCAAGAGGCTAGCCCAAGATAGAGAAAAGTGGAGGGTGTTTGTCCTCGGCCTATACCCTGGTGCAGGGTGAGAAAGGCAATGATGATGATGACTTGTGTGAAACGATCAAAGCGAAACTGCCACTAGTTTTTGAATAAATTAGAAATCGAATTCCTGAAGAACGCATTTTTAAAATGGTTACATGACAAGAAACTTCTTTATTTCGAAACTGCTGGGAATTAATTTTTTTTTAAAAAGGCATTTTGTCAGCTTACGAGCTGTATTGTTTGTTCTGTAATCTACATTTATATACTGGCTGCAAACAGAAATCTGTTTACAGAATCTTTTATTACTCCTGTTATGTTGTAGTTAGTGCAGTTCATTGCCTGCATCAAGGACAGTAGTCAGAGCTCGGGTTGTTGTTGTTAGCCATCCAGTAGCATTTGAGCGTTAACTCTTCTGCATGATGCCTTTCGGTAATAGTTGCATGTCTGTTCTAATTGTTGTCTTGAGGAGTAG